GAGCTAGGAGAGTAGTTCAGAAACTGTTTCAGTACCCCTTAGGAGAATGTCAAAGGAAGATAATAGTAGTGATGGCTGAAATTTAGGTGCTGTAATTAAAAGGAATGCTATAAAAATCTAAATATGTGTATTCTGTCATTTTCTAAGTATTTTCTCAAATCCTTAGCTTTAGACACACATGCTTTTCTGGGCCAGTGATTGAAAGCAGTCCTTCTCAAGACATATATTCTCTTCTGTGATACTAATGTTCTTCCACTTGGCAATGGAATCTTTAGCTGCTACAAGCTTAGCTCATGCTAATACAGTGGTGAAGAGTCCTTTTGCAAAGGTCTTTGCTTATCTTTTCTGTCTTTCTCCGCAGCAAGACTTCATAATGCAGTTCTCTAGGTCTTATGCTAGTTTTATGGGGCTAGTAGAGATTTTTGTCATCTTTATCACATGCATGGCTAGTTGAGCTGACTTTCCCTAAACTGAACCTCTTTTAACTGAGGATTGGTTTTGTAAATACTAATGCTGAGCACAAGAGGCAAATTACTTCTTTTCTACACTTTTACCTCTTTAACAAAAAGGGGGGGAAGGGGCAGATTGGGGGGAGAAAACAATAACAGAATGATGAATGAAAGACCGCTTCCATGATTGGAAAATTTATTACACTAGGAAGAAAAATTTTCAAGGTAAATTAGTGTCAAATGAATTTGCATGTATGATAGTTAATGTAATTGTATCCTCTTTTAAACTTCTCTGTCTTCCTGTTACTTCAGGAAAACTTATAAATAGGAGAAATTGCATAAACTTCATTGGAAAGCAGTCTTCTATCCATCAGCTATAGACAGCCATTTTGGAAGGAGGGCTGTATGGCTCTTTTATAATCTCTGAGGAATTTTCTGTTCTTTTCTGTCTCCAAGCTTTGTCAGCCTCAGCAATTTTCCTTAGTTTATAAGAAAGTAAACTTTATTAGGTACCATTATTGTTCCTTGCTGGGTGTGCTAGGTAGTTCATTGTTTGGCTGAATATCTATCTTAAGCACTGGTAAACTGGCTTACTCAGTGAATTTGTAACTCATTATAAAAATATTTTACCATGAAATAAAATTGGCAAATTGAAAATTGAGAGTACATAACACATAATCCAAAATTCACGTTCAAGTTATATTTACATGGTCTAAAAGATGTGATTAAACTTCTCAAAAACTTGGCAAAGAATTTAAAACTTTGGTACTTTCTATCTATTAAGGTGGTAGTATGATTATATTTTGAATATAATCACGTTTCAAATAGGGCTTAAGTATAACCAGTACTGTAGAGCTAGACATGAACACTGTTGTGTGTAAAGACTGGTGAGTCAGTAAGGTGCTGTGTTAATTTAATATAGCTAGTGTTGATATTTTAATAAAAGAAACAGGGAAGCAGAACTGAGGCACATACAGTTAGAACATGTTTAATATTAGTCAAACAGACCAGTAAAGTCCATCAGAAGTTTGGAGAGGAAGAGGATGGGAAAGAAAACAAAAAAAATCTTTGCTATCCACTGGAAGTGTTAAGGATTGTGATTATTAAATCATGTTAACAAACCAATAACATTTACTTGCTACTTCAAGGCAATGTTTCATTACAGATTCTTCTCTATTGTTCTTAATACTGGTGGTTAATTGCAAGTACTGCGTTTCCTCTGCAGCCTGTAGATCACAATGCATGGAATTTACTTGCTGCTTGCTTGGATTTGTAAAATTGCTGTAGATTCTCCCTGTTATGAAGACAGTTGGTAGGGAGCAGTTGCCTGAAAAGCCTCCCAGTATGTTTACACATAATGCAAAAAGACTAAATGATTGGATGTGCTGGTTAATACTAATAGAATGTAAATGCAAAAGGAAATCAGAAAAGACAAGTATGTAGGATGTGGGTCAATAGTTATGTCTTGGGAGAGATCTGGCCTGTCCCATGAATGCTGGGCATACTTCTGTTACAGTAGAGTTCTGCATAGGTACTCCTCTCCTCCTGAGTACTGAGGGAGCAACACAGGACTGTGTAAGTGTATCAACCGTGTCTGAAAGCAGTACAGTCCCACAAGCTCAGCCTTGCTGCTTCTGAGTTCAGGATGGCTTGCTCAGTCCAACAGTATTGGGACACAAAAGTGCTAGGAGATAAAGGGGTTAGAATAACTTGTTGCAGTGCTATATGTTGGGGGGGTTTAACAAGTTTTGCTGAATATGATTGCTGATTGCCTAGTTAGGCTTATCTTGTGAGTTAAATGCCCTTTGTGTTATTTCTTGCTAAATATCTAATGTATATGGCAGCCTACTGCAAACTTTAAAGTAATGATAAAGTACCTGATGTATTTGCTAGCTTATGTGTTGCTTTTATGTATCTGCTTTCTTAATTAAAGTGAGTAATGTAACAATAAGATTTTAATTTTTAGAAAGATAATGCTTGACAAAATGTAGTTTATCTTTACAGGATTATGTTGGTGAAACTCCTATTCATAAAGCAGCTCGATCTGGTAGTATGGATTCCATAAGTGCCCTTGTGGCTCATGGTGCGCAAATAGAGTAAGTGAGGTTTGGTTTTTTTGTTGTTGTTGATTGTTGTGTGTGTAGCTAACTAACTTAGACCAGTAAACGTAGATACTAATTTCAGAAAGAAAAGTCAAAAGAGCAGACACCTGATTAAAAGACAGCTAGACATGTTCAACTGTAATGAAGCCCAGGATGTTTTGCATGTCTAGTAGTAAAGATTATTTTATTTAAATTATAGCAGTATACTAAAGTATTACAGCATTTATATCTGATACGTTATAATATTTATCACTCTTCTGTCAGATGACCCCAAATTGTACACTTTATTCAGCATGTAGTTATTTTTGCAACAAATCTACACCTTGCACTGGTGAATAAATATAGAAAACAATGCAAAAGCAAAATTATGCGCAAAACAGCAATTCACACACTCTTTGCAGTTAGTTTAATACTGTTTGTTAGTGTATTGTGTATTTGCCCTGTTAACTTTTTTCTTTAAAGGTTTATGTACTGCAAAAACATTCAGAAAGCTCACAAACTTTTGCAACTTACAGCATGGACAAAATGGATGCAGTTTTCACCTAGAAATGTTGAGTATAAGCTCTATGGCTTATAATAATGTCAATACTTAAGCAATTTGTTTTAATTAGAACTAGCTTTATTATCTGAAATGGTAACTAGTTATTGTATTTTAACCTGCAATATGAAACTGAAGTTGTGAGTGAAATAAGAACCATTTAGTTAATTTCCTGTTTTACCCTTTGGTTTCCATCTTACTGTTTTTGTAATGCTGCACTGATAAATATACCATAAAATATAACTCTTTTCAGTGGTGTCATAGCATATTCAGGAAATACACTACCTTTTAAGTGAATAGTAGTGAACAAATTGCTTTATATGAAGGGATTGCTTCACAGAAAAATTAAATAAGCCATCTCAGTTATTGACAAGATCATGAAATCAGTCTTAAATTTATAAATTCCCATTTTGCTCTCACTTTCAGATATTTTAAAGATAAACTTGGATTTACATTTTACTGTGGAATTGAGCAAACCTTAATTATCATCATCAATTAGTATATAATCTTGTGGTTTTTATAAAGTAACCAACCAAAAGAGAAGTTGTGGAACTGCATAAACCATGTGAAGTGAGTGATGTCTGCCTTTGACCAAAGCTATTTACAGCAGAAGTAGTGTAGGTTTATAGCAGTTTTAGTGAACAGGAAATAATTTGAATTCTCAGTTTTTTTAACTTTTGAATTCCATCTATGTTTCAGTAGACTAGGTTTGTCACAAGTTTTATACATTATTAAACATCAGATCCTATCCAGGAAATGGTAAAATCAGTGATGCAAATGCAATAGGCTTGTGGAGCAACCCATGTTTAGTCATTTAGAGGGTAAGGACTTGGCCTTGTCACCTGAGAGAAGTAGCTATTGGCTGATAGGAGTGAGGATTCTTTTTCCATAGAATCCAGTTTCCAGGCTCAGTATGTTAAATTAGGCCAAATCAATGTATGTGCTTTTGACACTGGTTTATTTTGGGTCATCTGAGTTTGAAAACTGACCCCATATTAATGGTTATGTTGATTTTCCGATTTTTGTAAAAACTTAAAAATGTAGATGCTCTGAAAGTTTTGACTCCTTTATTTTATGGCTCCAGTTAGAAGAAAAGGAGAGGGATTTTAGCCATAAAATTGAGTTCTAATTTGTGTATTTTAACTGAAATGATAATTAACTGTATAAGACCAAGTCAAGACTTTTATTCAATACAGACCTAAGCACTATTGCTGATCTGTAGTGATGACGAATAAGACCTTTTTATTTTTACTGGGATAATCCAGTTTTAATCCAGTTTTTTCTTTATTTCTTCATATAGTTGTGGTATCGAAATCTAGTTTTGTGAAGATGCAGAGAAATGTCCCTTATGTCTGCAAATAGTCAAATATACTATTTTTACATGATATTTATAGTATACATCCAGAATTCACCATCCCTAGTTTTTCTAGCCAGTAGAACAGGGATGCTATTACACAAACACTAGTAATGAGTAGGGTTACGTTGCAAGAAATGTATTCTTATTAATGACTGATTATTGAAATACTGCTGTTAAAATGAAGCAACTTGGACTAGTGTAATCTTGTTACCAGTTTCTATTTTATTCACTCCTTTGGTTATATTGGAAGCCAAAGAATATTGACAATAGTCCAGTTAAGGATAAAAGTAAGAATTTTAGTTTTAATGAAATGGCCTCACTTGAATTGTTCTGGTTTACTTTATGTCAGGCTTGTTAGTGTATTGCTTTTACAGAGAAAGATAGTATGTTGCAGCCTCTAAATTTCATTAAGCTGTTGCATTGTTTTCCTAATTGATGAGAGAGAATTTGGGTCTCTATTCCTGTGTAAATTTTTAATAATATTAAAAAATAATAATTGTACCCTAGTGAAAATATTTTGATTTTTTTTGTGGTATTTACCTTTTCATTTTAGCTGAAGCATATTCTGTGCACAGTATGTCCTACAGCCATAAAAATGGTTGCTCCACTAACTATGATATTCATGGACCCTTGAAGAGGGGGAAGCAGGTGGTCACAATGTCCTCATATGAGTGAAAAGGTTTGCTGTGTAACTGACTTTTTAATGTGGATAGTACCTTTTAAAGTATCCATAACTGCTGGATTTTCACTAAAAAGCATATTTATGCAATTTATGTATGGTTAATTGTGTATTATTTATTATGATGGTGACAGACAAGCGTCCACAGCTTTTTATGGAGGAAAAGCCTTCTTGGTGCCATGTTTTGTTTTGCTCTGTTACACTATTTTTTAAATGCTGTGTATTAATATAGTTATATAGATTGCATCACAGCATATATAAAAATATAAAATTCAGCTGTAAATACAGGACAGTGTTGAATCAAAAAAAGAATAAGCAGATGCAGGTGTTAATTATCCTGACTTGAACTTCCTTCATTTCACGTCCATTTGCATTCAGTGCACTTGAGCATTTTGTCCACTTATTTCTGAATAAAAATTCTTCTGCAATTCTCAGTTAAGCAGTTGTGTACTCCTTAGTGTCTTGTTTTAGAGCTACGAGGGAAGTTTCAAACACTGTATTATCCTGGGATAGAGAGGTGTAACTTGTGGAATGGCATGTGGTTTGGTATGCAGCCATCTAATTGCACACAAGTATTTGCCTGCTTTATTGATCAAGATTCTTGAATAGTGTCATAGGAAAGCTTTTTATTTGTCTGCCAGAAATCTTAAGGTTTCGGGGGAAATTGGTTTGTATACCATGATGGGATGTTACAAGACCCCAAAGAGATACTTTCTTTCCAGTTTCTTATACTCTGGTCTCCAGGTTTGAGGAGAAGAACTGACATCACTGGGATAAATATACCAGTACCTCTGTTTGTATCTTGGTGTTGATCTGGTTTAGGCAGACGCTTCAGCCATGTTCTCATTAAAGCTGTCTGGCATTCATTTGAATGTGTAAATTCACTCTTCCTATAATGCCAGAAATGTCCTATCACTGGTATTGAGTTTTTCAGCAAAAATTTTATTCTCATTCTTTGACAGTGGATTAGTTTTATTTCTGTGTTGCAAATTCATTTGTCACAAACTGCATGGTGTTGTTTAAAAAGGCATCATTAATTTCTTTTTTCTTCTTCACAACTGCTCTCCAAACTTCATAACAGAAATCTATCTATTGTGAGTTTTTTAGTGGATTAGCCCTTTGTGAAATTCTTGTTTCTGTGTAAAGTGAAGTCTGTTTCATGTTTTAGTTGTGATCACTTTTCTGATATCTCAGCTTTTGTTCTCCTCATTTGTACTTTTGAGATTTCTTAACTTTCTGAAAACCAGTCATCTCTAGTGAAGAGAGAATAGTAGTGATCTGTAGATTTCATGATGACAACACAGAAATCGGCCACTCCCTTGTGATGTAAACCCTCAATTCCTTTTCAGTCTGGAGGGGAAGCTTACATGGCCTGTTGTCTTGAAGGGTCTCAAGGTTCAGAGATCTGCATCAGTTTCCAGATTTCTACTTGATTTCTTAAAATCTTAGCAGCTACTTGCAGGTTTTTGATGTGTGCTTGTTTTTCTTGCCTGGCTAATTTAACTACTGAACTTCTAATATTGAAGTGCAGTCCCTTTCTGGTGTCAGCGTACTTGTGAAGTGCCATGACTGTGTCATCTTTGGCTTCAGAAGCTGCACTGCTACATGGGTTCAGTGTAGAAGAGCCAATGTCCTGCTTTCTTATGGTCATTAGCCTCATCTTGAGAACAGTGCTTTAGGTTCTTACTGATCATTTGTCTGAGAATAGGACTTAGGTGCTTTTTCAACAGAGAGGTTCTTATCTGTTAATTAGTATATTAATGCTTATATAATATGTTTGGTACTTTTCAAACTTGGACCACTTCATACAAAATTCTTATTGTTAAACTGATTGCCTGCTGTCCAGATAGCAGTTAAACTGCTGGATTAATTACCATTGTTGCATTATTAGTCTGTGCTGTATAGTTGAGGAAACAAATGTGGCAGTTCTTGTTTAATTGTACATAACAAGCATTTTAAGGGCCATCACTGTGGTATTCTTGTAGTGACCATTCTGCAATACAGGGTTATACACGTTAGAATTTGTTCTGCCTTTCCCACTTTATAAAAATTTTTACAGAAAGGCAAATTCAAAGTGACATGTACATTTCAGTAGTGAAACACTAACTCTGCAAAAAAATTGCAAGGAAAGCTTGATAGTTTCTTACGTTTGGTTTCTTGCTTGATTTGCTGTGATTGTAGAAGAACTTAAGGTGGCTTGTAGGAGCTTGTGACCATGAGGTAAGGTAGTAATTTGGGGTTAGTCTCAAGAAAAGATTTTGAAATACAGAAGTAGAATGTATATGCCTGGGTAACTGATAAAAAATGAGAGAGACTCAGTCTTAGAATAAAACCAGCGTGGAAACCAGTAGTCTTCACAGTTACAACTTTTTCAAATAATTGCAGGAAGCTGAGGAAAACTCTTACCACTGAATTTGTGTTCAATTTGAATGCAGATTATTCTTCGTGGGTGTGGAATAACAACAGTGGTTACTGACATCAGCTCTGAAATAGTGCAGAATTATGAGAGGCTGCGCTTCTTATGAATAAAGTCCATCATTACTTTATGACCTTTCTGGAACATACAGAGGAAGGTCACAAAATACGTGTGAGCTTGATGGGGTAGCTTATTCTTCAGTGAAAAGCCTCATAGGACTGGTTTCTTGGCTTTTCTTCAGTCAAAAGAAGCTGGATAAAGAACACTGAAGTGTTACCAAGACTTTTTTATGAGGATATCTCAGATTTCTGACAGGAATGTTTGGGGTTTTTTGTTGGCAGTGGTCTGCCTTCACTAAGATACTGTGCTGATGTTCACTTTTTCTGTAAGATAAGCTATTCTGTTGCTATTCTGGCAACAGATATCTGGGTGCAGTTAAGTCAGGGGGAGAAACCAAAGCGTTATGAAGTGGAACTTGGCCAGAGTTACAGTGAAAGAAACAAATGTGCAGTATATTCCCAAATATAATAGTCTGTATAGTTCTGATGGTTAGTCCAGATGTTGGTGGTGGTCATGTACGGGTGCTGTGCTTGATCTGTACAGGTGCTGTGCTTGATTTGCCAATACACTTTGACTAGATATGTGATGAGAGAATAGTTGATTGCAACATTTGCTTTAACCTGCTGTGTTGATTGGGTTTTGTTTGCTGATCTAGTTTGTCTTCTTAGTAAAGTTGTTCACAGATCAACTAGTACCTCTGTACTAGTTGTACAGTTAGTTGTGTAGCTAACCAGCAGTTAGTTGTGACGTGGCCCAGAACATGTTCAAGTTGGTCAGAAAAGTTTTCTAATGTGTGTCACGTGTCACCTGTTACAACCGGTAGCATGTGCTTAACAACCCTAAAGAGCTTTGGCAGCTGTAATTAAGGGAAAATGTTACTCTGCAGTTTCATTCTCTTTTCTTGAGGTGGCTTGCCCATGATAGATAAGTTTTCTTTTAAATGGAGGAAAATCTAAGTTTGAAAAACTTTCTTGTGAAGCTTGTTTCAAGTGGTTTTATGTACTTCAGCAGTTTCTTAATCCAAAAGGTCTTTTGTCTACTTGAATGAGAGCGTCAAGTTATTTTTGTCACAAAAAAAAAAATCATGTAGTTCAGTAATCTCCCTCTATTATGGGAAAATAATTAATCCATCTAATACTTATCGTCCTTTCATTCTTGATTTTTTTTTTCCCCCCCTTTTGGCACAAAAATACCTTAAAATTAATTTACCTCTTTTCTTCAGTTTTATTCACAGGCTTTCACTGTCCATGCTTTTTGTACTGAATCACTTGAACTTTATTCCAAGTTTAACACATTTGAGAGAAGCTTGCTTTCTTCATTTTTCTTATTCTAAGCTATCATTGCTTTTCAGTTGCTATGTTGAGGAGAAATAACGTCATTTTATTTGCTGCTAGAGGCATCTTGACCAAATCTGTATTGCAAGATTGTTTATCTTTTCAAGTCAGAGTTTGCAATGAACCTTTTCTTCATAGTTTTCCATAACATTTTATTCATTGTAAGCAACTTTGTCTGCAGCTCCTTCTTGGTTTCTAGAAACATCAAAGCAGCAGCAATGATAATTCTCATTGTCATAAGGTTGGCTGAGTAACTCTTATATTCTCTTTAAAGTGGCTGCAGTACTATAACGATGCTTATTTGGAATTCATTTTTGCCAGTGATCTAGGAAATATTTTCATTTTAATAGGAAAGGTCTTCTATGCTGTATTGCAATCAGACTGTTGTTTCAAGAGCTACCATAGTCTTTCATACTTTCCCTTTGTCAGTTGTATTCAGGAGTCACTTCTTACATAAATAAATAGGAATTTAAAAATATTTTTGCTTGCTGGTATCAGGCCAAGTCAGACAGGCCTATATTATTGAGGCAGAAGTTTACTTGGAAATGTGAATATTTTTTACAAAAGATACTGTAGATCAAAGTCTTCATTAAAGCATATAAATGGGAATACAGATACAGCATAAATCGCCACCTGATGGTGATGCTTGTGGTAATTCTAACGTTGCCTACCACAGTTAATGAATTCTTTCTTCTGCCAACGTTTGTTTAGTCATGAATTAAAGTATCTAGGAGCTAATTATGGCTGCAGAATTTATAGTTCACCTTGATTTTTATGTGGAAAAAGTGGCTTCACGTAGAAGAGTCCTCTCCAGTATATTCATGTTGTTACGATTTTGGAGGATGTTCATAGAAACTCTACCACTGTTATTAAAAGTCTAAAACAGTTTCAACTGCCAAATGCTTTGTTGTGAAATAAAAACTTGGCACCAACTTGTGCTTTTGTAGAAGCCCAGTGTGTAATTCTAGCATGAAGTTTTATAGCTGTCCCCAGCAGTGACACACATCTGTTTAGTTAAGAGTATTTTTCTCTTGGTATCTGGGAAGAAAAAAAAAGTTTGAAGCTATTTCATAATTTCTGTATTTGGACACCAAAGGGTTAAAACACTGAAAGTTTAGTATTTTAAAATCATTTTGCTTTAGAAATTTTAGACTAGTATACTGCTGTTTATATAGGAAACGTTTTTTTCTCATTGTGGGCGTTTTAGTATTCTGATCTTATTTTTTTCTCTTTCTTCTTTTGTTTTGTTTTAATCCTTGTATCTGCTAATTTTTGTATAGGAATAGCTACTAATTCTTTTGAGATACAGCCTACTAAATTTACGTAATTGAAGCCATGAATTGACCGGTAATTTTAATCCATTCTGTATAAATTTCAGTGAAGAACTGACAAATTGGTTTCAGGATGAAAGTAATAATGCTTTAAAAGGCATAAAAGACTTAGTATCTTGTTGTTAAGGTGGTCACATGGTAATGGCTTACATATTGAATAATGTGCTACAGCACTTTATGTATGTTAATGTACTTTTAATCTTAATGTTGCCTGCAAATATGTGATCCCTTATGATATAAGTTTCCTGTTTATGCACCATTGCCCGTTTAAATCAAACAGAAGATTCTGAAACTGTAAAAACTACACATGTCAATGTTTTACAGCTACGTAATTCGAATTGACTTGATTTTTTCAAGTAATCCTAGAAAGGGGGAGCATTCCATATAGAAACTGCTGAAACTGCCACAGGTGCTTCTCCGAAAACCTTACAGTTGTGGCATTGAATGTTCAGTATCGCTTCCTTTCTGCACACAAGGCATACTGTTGAGGTATTTGTTGCGGTGATTGGTTTTAATGCTAATCTAGGAATTCAGATATAGAATCTATAGATTTGCATGCTTTGCTTACCCTAATTTACAATTATCTACATTTTTATTTGTAAACTAACAATAGATAAGTTGAGATCAGTAATTTTTAACAGATATTACATTGATATACGAAAACTGTGGTTTATTTTCTTAGATTGTCGCATGGCATTAACAAAAACACAGTGAGCTGTAGGCACTGTAATCACTATTTCAAATTAAACATTTAGGAGATTTTTTTTTACGTATATGAATGTTTTTTCAAAAAGATTTATTGTTGACTTTTTGTAGCAAATGTTTGTTTTGTTTTTCAAGGTATGTGACATTATAAGTGGAAGATACTGTATTTCAAATGTTAAAAACACAGCTTTTTTTCCACCAATGAGTATGAAAAAGGAACAACTGAAGCAACTTAGAAGCAATTTTTTTAAAAATAAAAAGCACAAGTCTTTGTTTTCTTTGTACAGATCTTTTGAAGAGTAAATTTTGTAAGTTATCCTGAAGCAAATCTTTCTTGCATATAGATATTTAAACAATTCTAAGTTTTTAGTTGTTGGGGTTTTTTTTAATTATTCCTGACTTAACCATAGTGGAAGTGTCTTGATTATGTTTTGAGAACTTGCATCAGATTTTTTCCTTCCTTTAGTGAACTTCTGAAAACAACAAATTGTGGTTAGATTGAAATAATAGAAACATCCTGCTAAATAAATCTAAAATGGAAGTAAATTTCATGTTTCTGTTCACCAGTCCTGTTTGGTCAGATAATACATTTGTCTCTTTTGGTTTTGAGCAACAGTTGAGTTGCACTGCCACCCAACATTTTTGAAAATGCTTTTCAGAAGAAGGAAATACCTAAACATATGCTTCATCAGTGTCCTCTTTGTAGCTGCTTTAATTTGATTACCACGACTCTCAGATGAACTCAGCCTTTAGAATGGGAGTTCAGATGATGTCAACCAGAGGAAGAAAAATGGGTATTAAAAAAAAAAAAGTCTTCTTCATAACAAGATTAGTCCGTTTTGAAGACTTCCTGTGGACATCACTTGATGGAAGAAGAAAAATTTGTTATAAGAGTGTTGTTTTAAGCACTGTTAGGTGTGTGAATAAATGTATATGCAAAAGTCAGAGCTTTAATTCAATATATCAGTGCACGTGTTGAGTTTATTTATAAAACACCTGTCACTACACAACAATTCAAGTCTCATCTGTCAAGGAACTTCAAGATCACCTACTCATCCATATTCAGACTTCTGTCAACTTTTCTCATGGATTTTTTTCCATTTAGAATAACTTTATAATACGAAAATGTATCCTTCCAGTTACATTTGTCTTTCTTCTTTTGCTTTGGAGTTAGCATCTTATACTTCTGTACTTTGAAGAAAACAAAATGTCTTTATTTCCAGCTCCTGGATTTTAGCCTACAAGAAGGCTGAGGGTAAATAATATCATGCTTCATGATTCTAATTTGTTTCTATTAATAAGAATTACATGGAAACAGTGAGTAAACTGTAAAGCAAAAAAGTGCTGCCATGTGAAAGAACCTTAACAGGACTCAGTCATTTTTCAAGTACTTGAATTGCTTTGGAAAGGATGCAAGGTATGTGTTTTCTAAACATGGAGTGGATTGACTTTCTGACAACTTACCAAAACTGTGTTTAGCCCTGGGCAATGTTAAGTAAGGAATTTTTCTCCTGTTTGTCAGTTCAAGCCTTCACGTGTGTTCCTGTCTGGAGTAGGTGCCAAAAAGGGAATGATATTTTCAGAGCTTTACTCTTCTTTCTTCAGTTTTTCCACTTATTCCTGAACTGGACTGACCTTCAGTCAGAAGGTTTTTGACCTTTTTTCTTTTTTTACTAAAGGGAAAGGGAATTAAGTTTTTGGAGCGCAGCTGTCCAATTTGACAGTAACTAGGCCAGCCTAGTCAATGAATATACTGCACCAAGTCAATGAATGCTGTTTAATAAAGGCTGACTAATCGTAAAACACGTGTAACTTTTCAAGGCTTATTCTGATTTTATTATTTACGACTTTATTGCATCCTTCTGTACCCTCCATGCTGGTAGGTTCTTCCTTCATAAGATCATCTTTGAAAAACGCAGTGTGTGTAGCTTGCTATTTGTCTTGTTACAGCTAGATAGCCCCTACCTTAGAGAAAAACCTCCAAAAGCAACATAAGCTTGTCCTCAAGTTTGGCATATTTTTCAGGGGGAAAAAAGGTTAAAAAAGCCAACAACAAACCCTACATAACAAAAAACCTGCAAGAAATTTCTGCGCTCATTTTTGAATTCTGAATAACGGAGTTACAGAAATAGAGCTGTTGTATCTGCTGTATGATTAGCAGTAACAAAAGGACAGCTTACCTGAAGGTTTATGTCAAATGTGTGTTCCAAGCTTCTTTGGAGTTTCCACTATTTCAAGGTGTTTAGGGTAAAAGATGAATGCTAGTACTGAAGGGACTCTTAACTTATTAAAAAAATGGAGGATGGGTGGAAAAGAATTTTTTTCAAGAAACAACAGTTGAGATAGTTCTGTCCATGTTGTCCAGTGGTTTACATTTTTTCCCTGCTGTTTTTCTTTCACAGCCCAGGTCTTGAAGTTACTTTCAGTTATAATATCCTTTACCTATTCTTTTTCTTTATGTCAGCATCTATAAGAAATGAAGTACCTTTCAAGCAAGGGACACCTAATAACTGAAGTAGTTGAAAATTTACTTGAATATAGTGATTATCTCTTTGAGTTTTCTGCTTGTTGATTTTTAATTTATTTATTTTTTAACCACACAGACTGTGTCACGTACAGTCTACTTTAGTAGCCAAATAAATCTTCAGTTACTATTTCTCCTTTTCACTTGACAGTCAGTTTACATATAATTGTGGTTCGTAACCAAGGGCTGACATAGGAATTGCACATAAGAGTTTGAACTCCTCTTAGCTGTTTCTATTTTTGTCCTTATAATCTATACTGTACTGTGTACAGTAAGGACATTTACATTCTTAGCTCTTGGGCTAAGTTCAGGTAGCTGCTTCCTTTTCAGCCGTTGGCAACATTTGAGACAGACCATGCACTGCTGGAACAGGGTGGTGCTCCAAGTCCAGGTTGGTGCTTTTAAAGAATGGCCTAATAGATGTCTGAGCTTTTTAGTTCATTCAGGTACTCCACAGTTTCTGGGAGGATTGTATTACACTATATTTTTCTGTATCACACTCAGAATCTTTAGAGTGATGACAATATTTCTAAATTATTTTGGAAATGCATAAAGCTATTCTAATCTGGTAAAATCCTGTGATATCTTTTAAGAGTGTTTTCTCTCCTATTTTGTTCCTAGTTGAGTTAGGTTTTTCTCTTGGATTACTTGCATTTTGTTATGATATATATAACATATATAATATAGCATAGCTAGCCCTTGCTGCCTTTTGTGTTCCCACTGACAGATTTTTCCTCCTAGAGAAGACTAAAAAAGTCAGCTAAGGAAATAGGTCTTTTTTATCTTTCTAGCCTGGTTTTGAGGAAGTGACAGAAAGTTTCTTCAGAATTTGTCAGCTTTTCATCTTCTCCTTCACATTATTATTGAAATGCAAGCCAGTTTAGCTGAAATTTGAAAGTAATCAAGCTTTGATTAAAATAATTAACAGCGACAAGTGGATATATAGAGAAGATACTCAAATTAGTGTTCTAACTGTGAGGGAGCAAAGGGAATTTGACAGTTGTGTTCTCTTTCTTAGCATTTGACCTAAAGGTTTCTGGAGTCATCCAGAATCCGTAATCTCCTTTTATTTGATTGAACTTTTTTCTGTTTTTCCACTACTAACTTCTGAACACAGAACTTTCTCTTGAAATTGATAAGCTAAATTCAGGCTAGCACTTATAAGAAAGGTTTCTAAACTCTTAGAAGCAAGAATGTTATATCCAGTGGGCTTGAATCCACTAAAAACCTATGCAGTGCTTTCAAACTACTTCTGTAGAACAAGTACATCTTTGTCTCCTTGTTAAGAGTCATCTCTTCAAGATGGGACAGATCTTAAAATATCAAAGGTCATTACATTTTAAAATATGACAAAATCTTTTAAGTTCATTTATTTTGTGTCTGGGAAACGTAATTACTCTTTCCTAGAGTTTGGTCATGTAGCCTTACATACTTGGATCTTTGTACATCTCTAAATGCCTCTGGCATCTCATATTGATGTTCCTTTGAGGAATAGTTACTGAACCGTAGTCTGCCTTACAGTCAACTTTTCAAAGCAGAGTTATTTTTCAATAATATTTGCTAAGTAATAGAATTACTGACTCCTTGAAGTTTTATTAAATTAGGTGGTCATTCAATACCATATTGTTTGTGTCATTTTTATTTTCGTGTATCTTTAATTTGCTCTTGCTTAGATCTCCTTTATTATTCTTTGGAGGCTTGCAAATTTAAAACAGATTTCAGAGAACTGAGCTATTTTTTTTTTGACCAAAACAGATCTGTTGAAATTTCTGTTTCTCCAGCTGTAGTTTCATTGCATTACATCTGTATGCTGCACAAGTAAATCAGAATTACTAAAAGCATTGAATGTTAGCTGAGACCTCAACAAACCACCTGATTCAGCATCAGAAAGGATTGACTGTATTTTGCAGAATTTCTGAAATCATAGGCTGCTCTTAAAATGAGGAGAGAAAGAGACCCCTCTCAAGATCCAGCAACATTTATACTCTAGAACTTTCTCCTGATGCCTCTCTTTAATTATCCTTTGTTTGTGTTAATCCCATTCTTATACGGCCTGCACTGGATGGACAGAAGATCCTCTTTTGCAGCTGTCTTCTGGGTATTCAAAAGTAATACCTCCACCTTGAAGTTTCATTTCTTTTGCATAACTAGATTTTTCAGTCTTCCAGAGTCTTACTTTTTAGACCACTCTTGACAGCTGTTCTCTGGATTCTCATTAGTAGTCCAAGTTAGTGGTGACTTAGAATAGTGTAGTATGGAATGAAATTAACCCTGGTCTAGCCTAATAGGTTTTGTGATTTTGTAGTATTTTGATTTATCCATTTATGGAAATAGTCTTGCTACAGCAGGCAACTTCTAAAGTCTCGTTTTTATAGCAAATAAGTTACAATTATCTAGGAAGCAAATCTGGGTTTTGTTCTTTGATTTCTTCGTATGAGCTGGATTGAGTTCTTTTCTATTTCATATGAGTTTCAAGAGGATCGGGTCTGTTAATCTCCTGAATTCTTATTCTGTTGGCTGGTCTGTTTCTGGATTTTTAAGTAATGGACTTGTCTAAACTATTGAAGCCAAGAAACAACAATTCAGTTTTTCTGACTAGTTACATCTGTCTAGAAAGGCAGAAAAATATTATGAAAGATTGATTAGCATCTGTTGCTTCGCCATCTAGTTTTGTCATTTCTGGCCCTCTTATCTCCACTTTTATGTTCTTCCTTATGAAGTTAGCCTAAATTTATAAGCACAAAATGTACTGTATGTTTGTGTAAATGTATGTGACATAGAGCACTTCTTCAAATTAAACTTCTACCTCTCTACATGTCCTCCATGATTTCATTTATAATCTCCTTGTGTTAGAATATTCAAAATCAATGCCATTCTCTCATGCACAGAAAAGTCTTGATTCAAATTAACAAAGCAAGTCCCAGTACTTATGATGTCACACACTTTGAAATGAGAAACAAACCAGAAACAAAAGTATAAGCAAAGCATAACTAAGTATAGCATCTTTATCTATCTATCTCTTTCTATATATGTATATATTTTGTTGTTAGGAAGAATAGTGATGTTGTTGTTACCTTAGAAACCAGAATGCCATGGACAATTGCCAAGTCATTTTAAGTTTGTTTGAGTATTTGATCTTTTACTCACGTTAAAGCAATAGATTGCAGAATAAAATGCAGAAGATGGTAAAATTCAACACTTAATTAGTCTGAAGTTTATGTAAAGATCAGATACTTCAGACTATTTTAGAATAAAGCATTTTGAGAAGTTTAAATAGGAAGATGGTTTAAGGCACATAGTATATTGATTTTATTTAACAGTGTATTGTCTCCCAAATTTTGCTTAGAAGCCAGATATATGTGCAAAAAGTAAAGTTAGTTATAAAACTAAGATTAATAACTAATTTCTTAATGGAAATTTGCTAAGTGTATGTTTTCTCTCATCACCTGCAGATAGATAGTAAGGGCAGCAGCAGCAGCAAGCTAGCGTGATGAATGAGTGTAATTCAGTTTCTTTGTATTGTACAGCTTGAGAAATGCCAGTGGCCTGACAGCAGCAGACCTTGCACATACCCAGGGCTTCCAAGAATGTGCCCAGTTTCTCTTGAACCTCCAGAACAGTCACCTGAATCGTTTCTATAGCAATGGCACCTTAAATGGGGTTCATCAGAATGCAGGTCCCAATCCATTCAGTGGTGGGACTAGTCGAAAGAGGTCCTTTGAAGATACGGAGTCTGCTGGAGCAAAGAAGGCTAGAACAGAAGGTGAGACCCCAGAGGTAAAAGGGATGGGTTGATACTGTTGCTGAGAAAGGAAAATAAACATTTTAAAGCCTTTTGGAGTGGATGTTGAGTATTATTGACAAACTCACATATCTAAATTACATATTAATCCAAGAAGATGAATATAATTCCATGCCACAAGATCCCAGTTCTCCCTGTCATCATCTTGGCGTGTTCAGAAATTTCTATTTCCAGAGAGTGCTATAGCTGCACGATGCCAAGAATAATTATGCAGAGGAGTAAGAGCTAAAATTAGTTTCTACTCCTTCCTCAGTTTCTTCACCTTCATGAGAGCCAAATAACATTGCGTTGATTCACATAGATACCCGGACGTTCTGATGGTAATTTTCCACTTGGGGATTAATTCACAATTCAGAAACTGTGCTAGGTAAGATGAATGAAATTTAAGGCAGAAAGGTTTCTCAAATCAAGAGGGATTATGTCTGTAAGGTAACATACCTGAAGTTTCCAGGATCATGCTCCAAGGGGAACTGCTGTCTTAGCAGAGGGTGTAAGACTAAAATGAATCTTAAGGACTCTTGTTCAACCTTGTGCATTGAGGATACTGCTGCTTTCTCTGCCAGCAATGACACAATAGTACAACCTAAATATATTTTTTGGTAGCTCTATGAAGAAGTTTTTTACATCTTATACACACCTTGAGTAACATGATAGAAAATATCTTCCTTTCTTTTGCCTATTCCATTAAATTCTTACTAAAAATAAAGCAGCAATTCTGCACTCCAACTCCTTTTTTCCTGTGGTTAACATCAGGAAAGGGACTTCATGAGTTTTTGTTGAAGGGTCTTCTTTCAGTTAAAATTGATGTTATTCTAACATACTTGACTTTCAGCAAGCCAAATAGAATGGGCTTAAACAGTGCTTAATTCCAGATAATAAGAGGGAAATTGAGGCCTAAACCATGTTTCTAAATATGACATGGGCAACATAATTACATCAAGATTGACACTGTAGTATTTTCAGTACTTGCTATCTGGCCCTGACTTCTAACTATAGCAGGATCAGAGGCCTTAACTGGGTACTTCATAGCCAGTCATGAACAGGATATGTTGCTTCATGTAGCTGGTTTAAATGATAAATTTCATGCTGGAGATGAGTCCCTGTGCAATAAAATGCAAGACTTAGGGAATAATGTCCTAAGTAGATATACAGAATAAGAAAATTTGCCCAGTATTCAGGTGCCCGTAACAGTTTCAGAAAGATGTCTTCAGTGCATTGATGTTCTGCTACTGGGAGGCACTGCTTGCAGTAAAATTTATCTTTCATTTTGAAGAGCCACTCCTGAATGTTCCTAACCAGCCATCCCTTTCAGCTTCAGGATGTGGCTTCAGGCTGGTCCGTAGGCAGTGTTTCCCCAAAGTCTGTGGGGGTGGCACTGGGCTAGCTGTGTGTATTCTCTGTGTTTCCATGAAATAGCAGCATCTGCATCACCTTTCACTATAAACAGTTGGTCCAGTGCATAAGTTAGATCAAGCAAAAAAAAAGACAATGCAGTGAACAGGAGCTCCCAAGTAATTACAAAGATGTTGGAAAAGCAATTGAGTAGATAATTTTTTGAAATCGTTACCAGTTTGACTTTTTAGGACTTCTGCAAACAAATGCAAAAGCTTTACTGCATTTGCTTGAAGGTTTTTGGAGTAACTAAGAGATGCATCTCAGCTGTGAAAGCTGCGGTTTCTAATCTGAGGTGTCTGCCCTCAGAGACATCAGCATCAGTAATAGCTATGTATTGATGTAAAAAGTCTGTTGCAGTGAGAATGAGTCACTGTTCCTGAGGCATTTTTGTAAACAACAGAGCTGAGTAATGAGGAGTCATCAGTACATCTTTGTGCCTAGCTGGCCTTTTTACAAAACAAGCCCAATTTTGTGTTAATTTTGCCCTTACTAAAACCACAGTGGTCTATTGTGCTTTAAAGACTATTTACACAGGAGACTCCAGATGTTCAAAGAGTGCAAGCAACCTGTATTTGCAGGTGTTGATGGCCATGCCCCAATTCAGAATAACCACTGCTTTGAAAAAAATTACTTTTTGTGACAATATATGTCCCATACAAGAACCTCTAACAGTACAGTAGGAAGAAGATAAATGCTTAAGCTGTACTTTGCTCTGGAATAGCTAAACTGGGCATTGGATGGGGATTACTTGTAATTCTCTTTAAATGCATACACATGGATCTGCTATCAGGTGCATAGTATTGAATCTTTGACCTCCAAATTAAGTGCCACTGATACACGATATGCCATGATTCAAAGTAAAAGCTCTCTCAAAGGTAGTGCAAAAATGAGTTCTGAAGGCTGAAGCCGAACTTGAAGTAAGTTGGTGGCCGCTCTCAGAACATACACCAGGTAGTTTTTCGTTTTGACTTAAAAACATGAGCTGGATTTTATGTCTGTTTTTCTGAAATCAGTTCCAGAAATTTCACTGTTCTGCCTGGGCAGGTCAGCAGAGTATGGTGCTCAGGGTCAGAGATGATGATGATGATGGTGATGATGATGCACACCAGGCCATCTGGTCACACAACTGTTCATGGAACACTTTAGCTATTGCTTAAAGTTCTTTAAAACTGAACAGTTTATGAGAATTTTGATTGTACCCAAGATAATGAAAACTGACTTGCAGTCTACCAAAGCAGCCCTTTATAACATGAGTGTGTGCAGTGTAAATAGCAAGATGTGTTAATGCCAGTGTGAGAGCAAGGCAGGGCCTGCTGGGATAGAACTGGAGCAGCGCTCTGGGTAGTAGGTATAAGAAGTAGTAGTGAAGTTGAGCCCATCTTGCTTATTAAAGCGTTCCCCACAGCAGTCTCACCACTTGCCAGCGTGTCTCAGAACTGTGTGTTCAGCTCTCGAAGGGATCCGTGAAGCAGTCTGTTATGCAAATGGATGAATTACTGGGACCTGGCCCTTGGGAGTGAAAGAGGGAATAGTCCAGACTGACAGTAGACAATTGTGAGGTAGAGACTACTTTTTATCTGTTGGGGACACTAGCTGTAAAGCCTAAACATGAGTAACTTAAATTGCTCTCTATTCAAATGCTTAGCTCTCACCAAGCTAGTAAGCTTGATGTGTAGGTGCAGAGTCTCGTAGGTGCTCTGATAGTTCTCCATTTTGAGGAATTGAGATGAATGAGCAAGTACTTAGCAGTTACTTACTCTGCATTTTGAATCTCGAACATCAGAAGCTCTCAGATGTGTAAAATTTACATTTCTTTGTAAAGTTTTTGCTTTAATAATCGAAGTACTCATCTGTTTGTTGTCTGAGTTTTGAAATGGGCACCAGTGACTAAACGTGACTCCTTTTTTTATCAGCTTACAGCTTTGATGGCTTAATACCAGTGATGAATGGAGGAGCTGAGGACGATGCTGACAATATGCACGTTGATAGAGAGTTTGCTGTTGTATCAGGTGGGAGTGGACAGTTTCCTGTTAACTACAACAACATTCAAATGGTTGAAGACACCAAACAACAGGAGAGTACTTCTGTTGGACCAAAAGAAATTGAAATATACACTGTTTCTGCAATGCAAACTCCTTGTCGTTGCAAGAATCAATATGCATTTTATTTTTAATTTAAGTATAAAATTTAGTCCTTCATTTTTGCACATTGTTGTCTAGAGTCTTGGAAACTATTGTATTGCTGTAACACCCATTATACTGGGGGTTTAATAGGCATCAAAAATTAGCTGTTTCATACAATGTATTGTAATCGTGAAAGAGAAGATTTATTAGTTGTTTTTTAGTATTTCAGATAAACAGAAATCCACGATGACTGTTTCACTTTTAACCTGAGGCTTGTATTACGTTGTGCCTTGCTTTTTGTTGCTATACTTTCAGGTTAAAGGAAATACAGAAATAATTTAAATTATTTAATTTTGATTAAATAGATTTAATTGCTAATAACAAGTCTTGATACAGAAATATATCTTAGCTTTGAAAATAACATGTTATGACAAAGCTATAGTCAAAATTTTACAACAAATACTATAAAGAATAATCTAGACATACATCATATCTTCAGAATTTGTTCAGACACAATGGCGTAAGTGCAGGATCCTACTATGGGGTTTCTTATGTAAATAAAAGACTGGACATCACAGGTCTTAAACTACTATTTGGAACAAGTGCACCTTGGAAAACAGTTTTTGTGTTTTGTACCAATCTTCATGAGACAATCAAAATGTTACTAGTATTAGTGAATATTAATGCGCTAGGTTTTTTAAGGGCTGCTTAATTAAGATGCATTTGGAAACCCCAGGATATGTATAGAGTTTGATTAAAACTCAGCTTTTTCCTTGCTCTTTGTAGGTTAAGACATGGAGTTACTATGATAGTGCAGTATTACATTCAGAAATTAATTTCTTATTATTTATTGATTTGTTCCGCCATAAATTTGTTTGTGCTTTGTACCACAGATCAGATTCGCCAAAGGGAATGATAATTAATAGGTATTTTAATATATTAGGAATAAACATATATACATATATATAGTCAACACTTTAAAAGTAGACTATGATATTTTCCAGTGATAATTACTAAGTGTTCTTATTTAGGGAAAAATGATTGTCTTTCATAAATATACTCTATTACTATAGGTACTCATTTTTAACAAATAATAACATTCTATAATTATCACTAGAACTATTCATTACCTACTTTTTGCATATTAACTAACAGAAGTGCCAATTTTATTAGATTTGATTTGGCAAAGCCAGCCTATAATGGTTGATTTTTAAAAGTTAAAACTTCGCACTTTTCAGTTAATAAACACTATATGAAATTCCTTCTGTGCGTTTTCATCACTGAAATATTAGATCTTTGATGTCTTGATGAGTTTGTGGGGGTTTTTTCCACTTTCAACAAGAATTCGTGGTTAGTGAGTTCAGCTGATGTGGTTATTTTAACTTATGTAGGGACTAAACAGGAAACTCCAGTTAGTAAATCCAGTGAGTTACAAACTTTGAACACATTTCTTGGCATTATGTATTGTTGTCTGTGGAGTATCAGTATTGTAATACATATTTCAAGTAATAGCCATGCAAAAGACTAATAGAGAACCAAAACTTCATATTCTTCCTTGTCAAACAGTGGTACTCATTATGTGTCACTTAAATTGGAGCCCAGTGTTAATGCAAATGTGGAAAGTTACCAACAGACTTACTGGCTTGATTTGGATCCATGCAGTAAATGCAATCCTGTTCTGCACATGGGTTTATGTGTTCAATGTGGACATAAACATATGTGCATGTATCCAAGGATAACCACAAAATGTAAAATCTGTAAATGTCACCACATAGGTCTGTAGTTTCCATGCTTGCCTTGCTCATCTTCACCAATATAGATAGACATAAATTTTATTTTTGAGGCAGAATATATCATGCATTTTTTGTGCTAGTACTTTTGAGTACCACTGCAAAAACATGCATTTCAGACAGACTGATGAAATCTGTTCATGGAAACAAAACCTATTGTACTAATTTCTAACTTCAAAGGAGAAATTGCTTCAAAACAGTTGTCAGTGGTTTTTGCATGCACATTTTTAGAATTTTGTTTCCTGCTAATAACATTTTTTAGTCTTCTGTGCACTCTGCTCTTGCTGTTGTATGGCATTTTGCATGTGGTTTGTACAGATGCTATTATAAACTTATTAAATACAAACCTGCCCAGTATGTTATCTGGGAAGCTGCTAGGTAAATTGAAGTGCTTTTTGAATAAAGGAACTTGGAAACATTTTATAGTAGCACCCCAACATAGCATTTCTTTATTTGACTTATTTCAGTGCATATTGTACTGTATGAGTTACCACTAAAACGAAAAAAAAAAGAGCCATGGTTAAATTATAGCTGAAAAATGAAAAAACCCAACCTTTCACCCTCTCTCTCACAGATACTCAGTTCTTTTATGTACATAATCTTTCATCCCAACAGGGCATTACAGTTAAGGTGGAAAAGATGCCTTTTATTCCACCTTTGAAAACACTGCCCAGAATGTTGTGTGCTGCACTTATTTCATACAGTTAAATGAAAAAAAATCTGAGTTCACATTGTCTTTGCAAAGAATAATACAGGCATATTTACAAGTTGAATGTAGATAGATAGTTGCATTTTCAACATGAGAATCCATGTTACAAGCTTACTGGTCAGCTCTCATTACTTTGAACTGCCTACATTGTTATAAAGAAAGGGTAGATTTATTTTCAAAGCTGTGTATGGAAACATTTTTTAAATAAGTGAAGTACAGTGGAGACATTTTTATGTATTTCCATTTATTCTTAATTGTTGGTGACAGGTGTATTTCTTAATGCAGATATGAATAGCAGTAGCTCCATATTGAATGCACTGACAAATGGATGTGCCATCAATGGACATTTGGATTTCACCACCGCACAACAGCTCAGTGGGATGGATGCCAGGCGTGAGGAGTGCTTAGCATTAACACCTAACGGAGTAATTCCTGGAATAACTTCCCCCAGTAGGCACCGAGTTCATACCAGTAATGGCACTGAGGAACCAGAAAAAACCATGAGTAATTCCACCGATATGTGTGGATCTCTCCATCTGAATGGAAGCCCGAGTAGCTGTGTTTCTAACCGGCCCTCATGGGTTGAAGACCCTGGAGATACTTTGCACTATGGACACTACCATGGTTTTGGGGATACTGCTGAAAGCATCCCTGAACTTAGTAGTGTTGTTGAGCATTCCAACTCTGTCAAGGTCGAACAGAGATACGACAATACTGTCCTAGGCACAATGTATTTGTATCACGGTTCCTAGATGAATGATCTCTATGTCAAATGCATATTGAAATTGCTACCAAATGAAACTGAGGAGACAAAATCCTCACATAGCATTAAATTTGAAGATCGCAACTTGTTGCTATTTTTACACTTTGTTTATATGAAAAGTAAACCCTTAATTTGACAGCCTTATACAATAGTTGTAGTTTGTTGCATGTATGGGGCTTATTTAGTGATAATAGGTGCTGTCATGATGGAATGTTTATTGTTTTCATTTTTTTGTTACGGAATGTTCTGGTTTTGTATTTTTTTTCTAAGCTTGTGAACACTATCTTTCCCTTTTTAGAGGTGTTTTCCCTTTTATTAAAACAACGTTTAACTGAATTTTGTGAAGAAAATGTTACGTATGTGCATCACTTAGAGGTAAAGATTTTTCTTTTCCGTATCTTCTGCTGAAGCTATGGTAGCAATATCAATGCCATCTCTCACTATGCAAGGTTGAAAGTGGCAATCTTCTGGAGCTTCTCTGACTTTATAGTTTGTACATTTGTTTGGTATAGTTAGATGTTCATCTTTAAATTTTTTGAACAAGTTGTTTAGAAATATGGAGACAAATTTGGAAGAATTTACTGTTTCACTTTCTGTAGCGTAGAAGTGCTTTTTGTTGTTGTTGAGCTCTTTGCATTACAGAGTGGGAAAGTTCGGTCGCAGTTGGGTGTGCCTCAGGTTTGCTCTGTGGTGGGTTTCTTTGGCTTCTCTCCTTTTGTGTGTGCTTGATATTTTACCATAGCTCACAGACCGGAGGCATGTTGGCACTGTTCTGCTTTGTACACAGTTTAAAATTGCTGTTACTTGTTATAGAATTTGCCAAGTCAAAATATTTGAGTTTGACTGTCTTGGATATACATTTATTGTCTTTTTTTTAACATACGCTTTGAAAATGTAATGTTGTGTACTCTTTGGGCTATGCTCACGGAAAATACATTGTATTTAATGCTTAATACACAAATCAAAATTCATATAAGTGCACTATATGAGCACTAATAATATAAGTTGCTGCTTGTGTTATAAGTGAAGAGTGGAGAAGAATATGGTAAATGAGATAAGCCCTCTGAATTGTGTTGATTTTTTTGTTCTTGTTTTGTTTTCAAAAGGGACCTTTACAAATTGGATTAAAAAATAAACATATTACATTGTATCTGAATATTTTGTTTAGATGTTATTATTTTTGTAGCAGTTTGAGGAAGCCTTAAGTAGTTTATAACTCACAATTCTCCATAATCTTGCTCGGTGCTGCTGTGGAATGTCTTCATTTTGTCAATATATGGAAGCAAATGGGAACAGCCCAATAAGGTGTTCTTGATTAAATTACAGAAACCACATACTGGATATTCTGTTTATGATGCATGTATGTGTATCAGCCTTCAACTCCAGAAATGGGTTAAAATACTGCCTGTCTGATTTTTATAAAAACTGTAGTCTCCTTCAAACATTTTCAAGCAAAATGCTACTAACTACAGAGAAATCAGCATTTTAAATAACCTTTACACTTTTACATGGTTTACTACACACAAGGGACTCGCAGCGTATTCAGATTGAGAGTAGCACTGATAGGACAATTGACCAGTTCTTTTGCACGTAGTTGGCCAGACCAGCCAGTTCTTAGACAGTTTGATTTGCTGATGTAGAGTCCAGAGGAACATGTGCTATTGCCATCATACTGCCACAACATAGTAACTGCAATTTGCAGTAGCATTTGGTTCTGGGGATCGTCTTAGTATTTGCTGAGTTTGCTACACATGCTTGCTTGTGCTTCTTCAAATAAATCAAAGCAACTCATAATGAGCACTGCCATCCTACCTCCATGGCTGTAAACTGATCCCTCAAGGGCTTTCTTTGGGTACAAGTGAATTACTATGCGATGGTGGAATTTTAGGTACATAATTTTAGCATGGTAAGATTTATACTGTGTTCATAAGGCAAGATTTTTAAAATTTGTGTCCACTTGGTTTTCATTCACTTCCTCTCCAACATCTTGTCACTTAAAAATACCTTGGGAGATACTGTATTTCAAATTCAAAAGAGAGAACTTACAGTTTTGTTTTAAAAAGCACTTCTATGCCTGTGTGTTCAGCCACATGCTAACAGAGACACAGCTTTCAACATCTGTATCTGTTATCAGGCCTCGTCAAAACCAGTTGTCAATTATGATTAAATGTAGAAGACCAGTGAGGGCCATATGAGGTAGACACACTGTGTGGATTTGTTGGGTGTCTTTGTTTACGGTTTATGTTGCAAAAGGCAGAAGCCTGTGACAGAGTATGCCTCAGCCAAGAGCCGAGATATATAATTTTTAAAACATCAAATAAGGATAAGAATTCCAAGACTGCTTTTTTACGGGTGCTCTTTGAGACAATACTTACAGCGAAGGCCATCTAAAGTATTGATTTTAAATTATTCCATAAATGTTCAACAGAACATGAAATAAGGATTCATGGAATCCCAGCATGGTTGAAGTTGGTGGATACATACCCAAGCATATGGTGCTGTTGTGAACCCATACCACTCTCACAGGAAGAAAAGTTTTATCATGTTTAATTGGAATTTCCTGTTTTTTGGTTTGTTTTGTAATTGTAGACACGTGTAAGCAATAAAACTATAAAAGTAATGAGCTTAATAGATCCAACTGCACTTCTGGTAAATGAGTTGGTATATGAAGAACTTAACGTTGTCAAGTATGGAATGAGTTCTGCCAGGTGTAGCTGAGTCTTTCCGTATCATAGAGTCATAGAATGGGCTGGGTTGGAAGATCATCTAGTTCCAAACCCCTGTCGTGTGCAGGGACATGTAACTATTGATGATGCAGAAGCTTTGTTTTTAAATACCTTGCTGTTAAAATACAGAAGACTCTTCTGGTTTTGCTGTGCTAAACCAACAGGTAGTTGTAGAAGCCTGGCAAAGCTCACAAGCCCTCCTCAGGCCTGAGTTATCAAGTCTCGGATTCTGCTGACAGCAGTGCTGAGCCATTTGGATTATGCTGTGCTCTGCAGTTCCTGAAAAGACTGCTGGGTTTTAAACACCTGAAGTTTAAGTCTCACAAGCTTGTTGCCTGGCAAGGGCAATAGTATTGTAGGATTGTTCATACTTAGGCCTTTTGTCCAAGTGTAGAATTATCAAGACTCGTATCAAGCAAATGTTTTTTTAGGTGTTGCTATGTCTTACTATTATGTTGGTTCTGGGAATAGTTGTCCAAAACCAAAGTTTTCTGTCCATCTACCTGTATTTAACTTGATAGCACCACTGTGAATGTCATATGGAATGCACTGAACAGTCATTCTTACAATCCTCCATGTTATCTCTTTGTTTGAGACTCAATTTTGTGTGAAATTTCAGTTTATTTTTTTCTGGCTTGTGCAGATGTTTTTGCCCTAATTCCCCACAAATGTAGCTTCTTTCCTATTTTGTTTTTCAAATTTGCAGAGTTTTGTCAGAAATACAAATAAGTACAGATTCAGGCAGAATTTTAATATGGAATATTTATGACTGATTAGTTAAGTTTGGCAATGTTGGAAGAGGGAAAAGGGAACTGGTATTCCACTTCATACGTGGTTACAGTCTTTAATATATTTAACAATCCCCTGATTCCAGATAAAATACTAGTCTTCAATTGTGAAGACTTCTAACAATTGTGAAAGAAGGCTTTCATTTGAGATGTGTTTTGGATTAAGATGAGATGCTGCTTGGTGTTAAGACCCATTGCAAATGCTTTCACACCCTGTGAACTTTTCTAAAAGTTTCTCTTGCACCTGACTGTGATCAAATCCTGATCCTTGTTCAGACTTGCATTCCGTAAGCAAGCAAAAGACACTCTGTTATACAGTGTATTTCACTGCTTTAACAACCATCTTTCTGCAGCCTGCAATTGACCCCCAGCTTAGTATTTATATCCACATTATAAATCTCTAAGGAGCATCTGCTGTTCCGATTACAGACGTAACACATAACAGATCCAAAAGAGCTGTCTCGCAAAACACGTAAATAAGTCCTGAGCACAAAACATGCCTAGATGGAGAAGGATCCCTTGCCGTCCCATACACTAGAGCCAGCCTGCAGTACAAGCAGTTACCAGTAACACACACCCTCTGAACTATGGCCTTGAACGCTTCTCCACTTACTTTGCATTCCACCAGTTTCTCCCAGTCAGTGAGAAACTTCACATTCCCCCAGCAGTGCCCCAGCCTGTGTTTCCACTCAGGCACAGCCAGTGCAGTACGTCCTTGACATCCCCTGATCTGGGCACGTGGGGCAGCAGCAGCAGAAGGTGCGGTGGCTGGACCACCTTACTGGTGCCATTCCATGTGACACATGCTGCAGCATCACACTGGCACCTTCAAATCCTGGTACATTTTCTCCAGGCTGGTTACTACCCTGGTGAAATTCCTTTTTAGTTGTGCTTTCTAGGGACCTTTCTGACAAAAAAAAAAAAAACAACACCTTCTCTGACATTCTAATAAGTAATTTTGTTGTTGTTGTTGTTATTTGCCTCTATCTCTAAAGTATGGCTTTGTGTCAAGGATCAGCTAAAATTAATTTCTTGATGTTCCAAGGAGGAAGTCCTGGATGCCTTGGTTTTGGGTCAGGTGAACTGGGGATGGAGCACTGTTGTGGAAGTCCTACAGAGATAAAAAGAAAGGAAGGGCAGGGGAAGCCTCCCGTGCTGGACAGTGCTGAGAGCTGCAGCAATTGTGCTGCAGCAGAAGAGGCAGGAGTGGAGGGTGATGAAGATGAAGAGTGAAGATGGTACCCTAGGAGGATCCCATTTCCCTGC